TTTCAGCTCACATCTGGATTGGCTTAACAAGTAATTGGAAATGAAGCCTCCTGATTTCCCGTTAAATGCTAGGCACAGGAAAAGAAATAACACTTATTTTTCAGTGAGCTTTGACCATCATCCAAAATCCAGCGCAAACCAAAGAGCTGCCTGTGGTTTGATGGCAGTCACCCAACATTTCTGAAACCCATTCTTGAGGGAAAGGAGCAAATCAGAAATAAAGACACAGGTTTGCCTTTTAAGAAATGTAAACAGGATTTTTAAATTACCAGCATTAAGCTGAGTAATTATTCTGTCATTGTAAATGCATGTTTTACATCTTCAGATATATAAGCCATTTCTTTAAAGCTCAAGGGGGTACTTTGTAAAAGAAACTTGTGCCTCTCAGAATTTTCAGATGCATGTGGTCCTATAAAAAATCAATACTGGTATGAAAAGAAATTAAAAAAAATTCTAGACAGCAGACTCAAGAGCTGTACATTGTGCATAAGGAAGGGCTGCACCTGCAGGATACCTCTTTGCTTCAACTCTGCTTATGAACTCTTGACCAGAAGTAAATGTATTGTGTCCACACACACACACACAAAAACCATTGTGGCCAAAACTGTTTAACATAGTAATCTAAGATTATTACACATGATCTTAATTGACTATTTAAACCTACAATGCCATGCAACCACAGAAATGAGGCATCTAAGGAAGTTTCATTGTAATTTCCATAACAACCAGCTTCAGTCCAGCAGGAAAGATCTGGAGCCCACCACTTGAAGCAAAAGTTTCCACCAGCTGAGCAGCACCTGCAAAAGCCACCTCTTTCACACAAAAATAAAACATTAAAAAATGGCCTCCTGCCAATATCATCTTGTGGAAACTAGCTTGAAAAAGAAGGGTGGGAGGACAGAGGAGAGAGAGGGGGGAATTAGCCAAAGGAAGGAGGAATTAGCCAAAGTAGGGGGCAATTGCCCTTTCCGTCTAAAACGGTTCTATAGCTTGGAGATACTTAAAAGAGAGAGAGGAAGAGAGAGAGAAAGAGAGAGAGAGAGAGGACCTCCCACCATCAGTGGGAGTTTTAAGTATCCCTAGATTTAAAAAGCTCTGCTAATAAAACTGCTTTGTACCATAAGCCAGATATCTCACATACCTTTGAAGACACAGGTATAATTGTCTAGCTTTTTTCTTCTATGGATTTCTTTTTAACTGAAACTCCATACAGTGCAGGATTTGTGGAGAATTAAGATGGGAAGGTAGAACATTATCCTATAATGAAATTTAATTTCTTCCCTTTCCTAATTGATCCAACTATGAATTTTCCCATTATGCTACTAACAGGATTGATGAGGTTATGAGGACTGAAAATGAAGTATTACTTTGGCCTTCTCTCATTTAAACTGGGTTTGTGTACAAAGTTTGTCCATTGAGGATCGAAAGCTGCAGTCCTGCAAAAGGTACTATTCCTAGTTAGCATGGCTGAGCATGGCTGCTAGAAGCTGTAGTTCTTCAGGACCAGTCTGATCTAGTGGTGAAGGCCTCAGGCAAGAAGCAGAAGACTGTGAGTTCTAGTCAAGTCTTAGGCATTGAAGCTGGCTGGGTGACTTTGGGCTAGTCACTTTCTCTCAACTCAACCCTCAACGGGGGTATTTGTGGGGAAAATAGGAGAAGGAAAGAGCATTGTGCATGTTTGCCACTTTGAGTAATAAAGATGGAAAATAAAATCTTAAAGCTAACATTAACCATCACACTCCTATTATTCAGTAATTCTTCACTCATGGAAAAACTTGGGGAAAAAACAAATAATAATCCAAGGAATAAATAAAAGGAACTGTAGAACTTCAAGGAAAAAAGAATTCACAACCATCAATGAACTGAGGAAAACTTAGGATAGTTTGAGCTAGATAATTGCACATGGAAAGAATGATCTAGCATGTTCACAATATAAAATCAATCAAAACTAGCTTATTTTTATATACAATTGGTAAGGAATAGGAATTATTCTTTCTACTTATTTGATCAATTCAGCTGAAGCAGTTATTAAAAAACAAAGAAGGAAGAGATAAAATCCAGGTATCTTACCAAAGGGAAGTTTGATTCCTATAAGGAGGAAAAATATGTTTGATATAATCATGACGACTCCAGTTATAAAACTTTACTGTAGAAAGACCTTAAATAACCCAATTAAATGATCCAAGTTTTGCTTTCAAGAGGAATTGAGTTTTAAGACCCAGGAGATTCCATGCTCAGATTAATGTAGCTCAGGTGCTAGTATGTTATGAAACATAATATCCATTACATGAATTAATTTACAGCACAGTCTATTCATTTTAACACAGAGCTATGCACCATTAGACATATTGAACTGCAGCTTCCTTTTGATTGTCTTCCAGCTTCTGTTCAATTCACTTTCAAGAATATTTGATGCACAAGTAACTAAAGATAGCAATCTTTCACAGTGATTTAGTCCCGCTATTAAATTAGTCCATTAGTATAGGTGAACATAATTTATTTGCTAATAAGTTAGAAGCTGTGAAGGGGAGAAACTTACCTATCTGCTTTTCAGTGCAAATAGGATTAACCTCTTAAAATATAGTAAATTCAAACTCCTTTTTTTTAAAATTGACTTCAACTCCCAGAATTCCCTAGCCAGCATGCAGATATACTCTGGATTAGGGTTTCTGGCAGGTCCTTTTTACTTTAGGCATGATATGGAAGAATTGGTCTTTTATTTTGCTTTTTGTTCTGTATTAGCATTCTCGGAAAACCCGCACCCTGATTGGCCCACCTGAACCGAAGCCCGATTGG